GAACATTTTAGGATGAGCATTGGAAGAAATTTGAGAACAAGCCACCTTGGGCCGTAGCTTTTTCTTAACAGCCTTGGCAGCAAGTGTCTCTGTTATAGTCACCTCATGCTTCTTGGTCGCCTGAAGCCTCCCACAACTCGTCAGTCATATTCTCAAATTTGTTCGACAATTTACTTAATTAATTACCTCATGCTGGAGGTTCTGTTGGAGAGGCAAATTTTGTCCCTCAATCAACTCTCCATAGAATTTTTTGAGGTTTCTGAGTAGTGTCTTAAATTTCTTCAAGCTGGCAACCACAAGAAGTAAGACTGTTAAAACGACTCATTATTCACGAACAGTTCGTGTTCAGCTCGTTAAGAAGAACGTGCTCCGCTCGTTCGTTAAGTTAACGAGTCAAACATGAATAAAGAATTCTTCGTTCGTGTTATGCTAATTTTGGCTTGAAATACTACTCATCAATTATATGAACTTTTTAGGACGAGCGATGGAAGAAATTTGAGAACAAGCCAACTTGGGCCGTAGCTTTTTCTCAACAACCTTGGCAGCATGTGTCTCTGTTATGGTCAACTCACGCATCTTGGTCGCCTGAAGCCTCCCACAACTCGTCAGTCATTTTCTCAAATTTGTTCGACATTTAACTTTATTAATTACCTCCTACTGGAGGTTATGCTGGAGAGGCAATTTTTGTCCCTCGATCAACTCTCCATAGAATTTTTAGATGTTTCTGAGTAGTGTCTTTATTTTCTTCACGTTGGTAACCACAAGAAGTAAGACTGTTAAAACAGCTCATTATTCGCGAACAGCTCGTGTTCAGCTCGTTAAGAAGAACGTGTTCTGCTCGTTCGTTAAGTTAACGAGTCAAACACGAATAAAGAATTCTTCGTTCGTGTTCTGCTAATTTTGGCTCGAAATACTGCTCATCAATTATATATATATATTAAAAAAAAGAAACATTATTTGAGTCTGGTGGGCCCCAAATACCGCTTCCCCTTGCGCTCGGTCCTCACAACAAGGCAACAAAGATTTATAATCAATTTAAAGTATTAATTAAGAAAATAAAATAAAAATTATTAAATTAGATTCAAATGATGTTTTAATATAAACAATAATTTTTAAATATTGTCATAACCTATAACATCTTATGACTATGTGATTAGGGTTGTCAAAACGACTCTTTGTTTGCGAACAGCTCGTGTTCGACTCACAAAGAAAACGAGTCAAACACAAACAAACTTTTTGTGTTCAAAATATAAACAAGACAAACACGAGCTAAGCCTGAGCTTGCTCTTGTTTGGCTCGTTTACACCCCTAACTGGAAGAATGTGAATTCCTCAACAACCAAGACTCGAGTTGACCAAGAAGCATAGTTTCCGATCCTGGATCTTATTTTCATTTTCCATTTCGAGCAATAGAAGTTGAGAGTTAGCCCAAAATATGGACAAAAATATTACATTGGGAGTTCTGATGCAGAAATGCATCAGGACTCTAATGAAATTTCGCCACGTTGCACGACATACCACTAAAAAAAATTCTATATTTTAATGCATAGTCTGGTTACTCCGGACACGTGACACAATTTCATTGGAGTCCTGGTGCATTTTTACATCAGGACTCCTAATGTAATATTTTTTTTTTCAAAAATATGATGAATCCATCTCAACCTTTTTTAAAATAGAAGAAATAAGTGACGAATTCGGTTGGTCAATGGATCATCATCCAACGATAAAAAATAATGAATGTCATCATAGCGACAATGGATTTTGACATGATATGAGCAGGGGTAAGCCAATATTGGCTAAAGAACGCCCACCGTTCCAAATAGAGTAGTAGTCAAAGGCCACACTTGAACTGAACGCAGTAGAATACAAGATCATTCCCATAATCATTTGTCACTTGTTCATCCTGTTTTAACGCTTGAGGCTTCACCAACACACAAAAACGACTGTCATGACAGTAATCGCCACAAAAATGCAGAAATGGAACCAAAAAGCTCTTGAGAGTATTTAGTTTCCATTAGAACTCACAAAGCGAAAGAAAAGCAGAAAGAAGAACATAAGTCATGTGAGAGGTCTTAAAGCTCTCACCCCTATTTATAAGGAGTTTGAGAAAGTCGAATAGTCGCATGAACTAAAAAGTCTTTTCCAACTCCGAAACCACACAAAATTAAGGCCAATCAATGACACATAATTCAAAATAAATAAATTTAATATTTATTTTTTTAGTTACGGAAACTAATAGATTACATTCATTCGTCTGAAGTTAATATGACAAAAAACAAAATTATAAGGTTATCATTTGCCGTAGTTGCTTATAAAAAACCTCAACTCGTAACTTAAAATGATTAGCTTTGGTTATTTCAGTTTGAGCCCAAAACAGAAAAGATGCCTCCCAAATGTCATGTAGCTTCACACAAAAAGTTGACATCCCCTCACGAAGGGGAGGCATCTCTATCTCCATCTTCTCCGTCTTCGCTATTTGGGGCAAAAATTTTTAATTTGGACTTCGAACACTGTGTGACATACATAGTCAAATGAGTTTTTGCCACGTGTAATGTTGGTCCCACACTCGAAGTAATTTAAAAAAACAAAAAAAGTTAATGCCCGACCCGCCCTTTCGACTAATCCGACTTCTGGAGTTTCTCGCCTATTGAAATACAGTTGTCGAGGACTTTTTTGGCTTCCGCGAGATAGATTTAAAGATCTCCTACCGTCAATTTGCTAGGGTTTCGCCGGTGTTCTAGCGTTTGAAGGTTAGTGTCGTAGCTAAGGTTTCATCAATTTGTGTAATACTGTATGATTTATGTTATCTGATGGTGAACTTGTTTAATCTACAACCAATTGTAAGTATGAATGCTTTAATGATTGAATTTAAGATAATGATGAGCAGAAACAATAATTTCCTTTTAATAACCATCAGACTATATTATAATAGCCCAGAGATAGCTCGAAAAAAACTTAGAGATAAATCATAAAAAAGTCTCGTTTGGAAAGATGGCGAATGACCAAGGAATAAGCTGAAAATAAGTCATTAATAATATGAAGTATGGAGGTACATCAGTTTTATTTCCAAGTTAGTATGTACATCGGTTTTATTTCCAAGGTAGTATGGAGAGCAATGAAAAAAAAAAAGAGGAATAATAAACTTCGAATGACATTAAAATAAGATAGACATAGCCTGTAAATAACTCAAAAAAGGCCACGTTTCTATGCAAGTACCGTGAGATTAACGGGATTACTATTGGGGACTACTTCGAGAGTACTGCGGGAGTTTATGCGGGTGCTACTTCGGGTGTACTGTGACATTTTATCAAGAGTACTTCCACAATATTGCGAGATTAACTTTTAGTAATACGAGAAATATTTCAAGAGTACTCCCAGGGTACTTTAGGGGTTTTGCGGGAGTTTACTACGTGGGTATTGTGACGACTATTGTGGGAGTATTGCGGGAAATTTTGAGAGTACATTCATGATACTGTGGGAGTAATGAGAGTTTATTTGGAGCACTGTGAGAGTTGATGCGGGTGTTGATGCGGAGTACTGCAGGATTAATTCTGAGTACTATGAGAAATATTAGGAGAGTACATTCAGGGTACTGCAGGCGTCCCGCGAGAGTTTATTACGGGGGTACTCCGAGGGCTACCGCGAGAGTAATGAGGGAGTACTGCGGGAGTTTATTTGGAGTAGATTGGAGTAGAAAGGCGGAATAAATTATGTGTACCGTGAGGTTTCAACAATGTCTGCGATGCTTAGGTGAGCACAAGAGTACTTACAAGGTACCAGGTAGCGGAAGTTTGAGTTAGGGATACGATGGTATAGACCAAAAGGAGGAATGTCCGAGATCCACGGAAGCATAAAGATTAAAAGACTAGATACTCTAGAAGCGGGTTAGTCGAACGGGCGAGTCAGGGATTAACTTTTTGATTTGTTTTTAATTAATTATTAGTATGACCGCAGTTACAAGTGGCATAAAATTCGACTCCTGAAGTTAAGCTATGGGCCCCTTTGGGGCAGTTTATAGGTGCGGCAGCGTTTTGAAAACGCCGCCTCCTTGTTTGTTTCTCGCGGTGGAGCCGCGTATGGGGAAACCGAGTTTTTAAATTTGCATTACACGCGGATCGCGAGTCCATCCCAGCGATCCGCGTTTGGACTCCTAGGTTTTACTCCCGTGCCCTCGAAACAGTCCCGCATCTCCTCTTTCGTTCGAAGGATTCTTTTCGAGCTCCTCTCCTGCCTCCTTGGCCGAAGTTGCTCTGTAGGTAAGATCTATTCTCCTCCCTGCGCTCCTCCCTGCGCTCTTCCCCCCTCCCCCCCAGTCCTGCATCTCCTCTTTTGTTTCTCCTGGCTTTTCTTCTGTGGAAATTATAGGTGAATATGAAATTGTTTAGTAGATCCAATTTAAGGTTGATGAATATTTATTGTGCAAATGTAAATCCATTTTTTTGGTGAATATGGAGGTGATTTCACTGTTTGGAATTGTTCTCGCTCTCTTTTTCCTTCAGTTATATTTTTGGATTATAAATCCAAGGGTGATCTCTTAACATTACAGTGGGATTGTGTTCTATATGCTGGACACTGCTACTCAGAGTTCGTTAATCTCAAAATTTCAAAACACCGCATCTAGTTCGAGTGCTTCCTTTTCTACTGCATCTCAGTCGAATATGTTCGCTTAGGGTTCTGGAGTGTCAAAGTCGGGCAGCATGGGCCGTGATATGCTGCTACATTTTAAGTCAACATTATAATTTTTTTCTTTATCATTTTGACATATTATTTTTTTTTTGTTCTCATTATGCTTCATATTAGTACGTGAAGTTGCATTTTATTTTTGATATGCGTAACTTTGCTCATTTGATATGATCAGATATATTTGAGTTACATAAATATAACACAACTTTTTTGTATTCTCTTATCTTAATATTTTATCTCTATTTTTATTGAAAAAATAATAAATTCTACTACACAAACTATTAATTCAACTAAAAAAATTACAAATAAAACAGCTGCTATTAGCAGGCAGCTGCCGGATAAAGGGTTTTTCTGAGCCACGTAGTATAGCTTACTTCCTTGTGAAATGGCAGCCGAGAACTCGGATTTCTACTAGTTTTCTCCGCTTGTGAAATGGCAGCCGAGAAGGGGAGCAACAAGCGGATCATCCTCAAGGACTACGTGACGGGGTATCCCAGGGAAGGCGACATGGTCCTTATCTCCTCTGACATCGAGCTCAAAGTTCCCCCTGGCTCCGCTGCAGTTCTCGTCAAGATTCTCTACCTCTCCTGCGATCCCTATATGAGGGGAAGAATGTCGAAACCGGTGGTGAAAAGCTACATTGGGCCTTTCACCCCCGGATACGTAAGCCCTAGTTGACCAATCATTCTCCATGTTTCTGTTGCCCATATGGAGAAAGTCGATGTATGAATTTTCTTTATATATTTAATAGCTGCTTTGTTTTTTGTTTGCTGATTTGGTTGGGCGTGAAAGCAATAATTCAGGGGGATCCACATCTTTTGATAATACCTCTTTTAATTTTTTTTTCTAATTAAATGTATGAAAAGTGAAATTGTTGATTTTGTGGTATTTAGAGCAGTGAACGAATTGAGTGGCATCTGTTTCTTTCCTTTTTTTTCCCCCGAAAACGGTAAGGCCTGTTTGGTTTGAAGCAATTGAAAGAGAGGAAATGAAAACATAAATGGTAAAAAAAAAAAGATATCTTTTTCTTCACTTGTTTGGCTCTTGGTCGATGAAATAGTGAGTGAACTGTAATTTTTATTTAATTGTTTAGAAATTTAATTTTTACTTATTGCGAGGAAGGGAAATGTAAATCACAACGATTGCTGATTAAATTAAATTATCTCATTATTGCATTAAAGCTAGACTCCTAAGATGAGCTTTTGAAGAATAATACATTTATATTCCTTTCAATACCTTCAAACCAAGTAGTGCCTAAATGTCACAACTAGACTATTTGGATATGTTTTAAACTTCTTAATGTCTAAGTTCCACTTCGATGCCCAACTTGCCATAGTTTATATCTAGTTTAAAAGCCACAACAAATGCCAAGCTGTTTCAAGGTTTGATTTGCCAAATACAAGGGGATGAAATAAAAAACACTACAATACTATAATTTTAAGCCAGCTTGCAAGATGGGCATCACTTTTCAAATGGGCCCAATATTTACAACCAAATGAGTGAATAAAAGCGAAGAAAAGCACCACAAGGGCATGATTTTTAAATCTCTTCAAGAATTTATCGTACGCGAGAAGGTTGATAAGAGAGAAAAGTGTAAAATAGTCACTTAACTCTTTGTAGGGGGTCATTTTAGTCCCAAAGTTTATAAAAGTGCCAAGTTAGTCCGCAGTGGGGACTATTTCAGCCTCAATTTAAGAAGTTTAAGATTAATTTGGCACTTTTATATACTCAAGGACTAAAATGACAACATGTAAATAGTCGGGAGACTTTTGACATTACTCTTTTTGTCTTCTATTTTAAGCTCTTTTTTTTGCTGTTTTTTTCTCTTTATTGTGCTTTGTTGTTGCTCTCACTCATTCAGATTTTCTTTAACAAAACTATTGTTCTTATTAAGGATTGCATGTTATTTACTTATGCATGCTTATTGAGCCAAGGCTAACATTTTAAATAATTTGTCTTTGAGCCTTTACCTGTTTTATGCTTACATATAAGCCATTACCGAAGTTATTAATTGCAATATCGTTAAGGTTTAACATGATGCTCATGAAAGATGTGTCAGATCACTTGTTTTCTAATCTCTTAAGGTCTAAATTTCCTCAGGTCAAAATCACAATTTTTTTGGAATAGTGTTGCTTTTGAGGATGATTATCCAAATGCTGAAATATCTCCAATTTATTTTGCTAATTTGCAGGTTATAACGGGCTATGGTGTTGGGAGAGTTGTGGACTCTGGACACCCTAACTTCAAAGCTGGAGATTTGGTATGGGGAATAACTGGATGGGAGGAATATAGTCTAATAGAAGCACCTGACAGTTTGATCAAAATTAAGTATACCGATGTGCCTCTTTCCTACTATACAGGAATTCTGGGTACCTCTCTTTATTATAATAAATGTGATTTTCTTATGTAGTGAGTTATTACGGTTTATCTTAACTGTTGACTAACTTAGGTCATACTGAAAATTGAGGGCTTATATGCATGAGCTTGAAATTCGAAATATAGTATTCTGTAAAAAAATTGGGATTTTGAAATTTTTTGTGGTGGTATTACTATGCATTGGTGAACTCTATTTGAATCGGAATAAATTATTGTTTTGTTTTGGTTCAAGTTTTACTTTTTCTTGGCTTAGTTCAGCAATAAGATAGGGGTCTTAGTAGGATTAATTTGTTTCAGGATTGGTTGGCTAAATGATGATACTAAAGAGCCTCTAATATGAAAATTTAGTCGACCTATTCTGAGGAGCTCATTATTAAACTATTAATTAAATTTTATTACTTAATGATTAAGATAATAATTTGTCACACATTAGATAATTTATAGATTATTTGAACTAGTTACTTGGGTTATAGCTAATGATTAAGATATTATGTTAGCAAGTTAATTAGATTAATAAGAGGCAAATTAACCTAATTTTCATTAATTAATGATTAGGGTGGTTTATTTGTCTTATTGGTTCTATAGGATAGTGCTAATTAATGATTATGATATCAAGTTTGTATGATTAATTGGTTAGTCATAAAGTGATGACTAGAAGATGGCGTGGAGCGTCTCCCGCTTATGAGCAGGATGCAGCTCCCGCGGTTGCGTGAAGGCTGAACCTACCGGCCTTTTTTTTTTCCTTGCCAATTTTAACTAGTGTCCTTTCCTTTTGTTCCTTTATAGTCCTTTCCTATATGTGTTTTATAAGGGGCTTATAGGGGAGTTTTTTTTGCGTGAGTTTGGTTAAGACAACCACCGACATTTGTTTTCTCCCATTGAGAACTGTATCTGAGGGATTGAGCATTGTTTTGACTGTATTTCGTTGTCGAGGCGGTGATTATATTCTCTTTTCCCCTTCCGCATCCTCCCACATCGCTCTTGACCACCTCTTCTTTGCTACAACCTACTGGAAACCTTTTTTGGCTGTTTTCTACAGTTCCTGCAGTATAGCCTCCCTTCCCTGCCTTCCTGCCATCCCGCACAGACGCCTCCATCCTTCCCCAACCCACACCATTCTCAGTCGCCGATTCTTATTACAACAAATATGCTATTTTTCTGCTGTCCAACCATCATTCTGATTTGTTGCCGCCTGGACTGCAACATATTTTGTTGTCCCTGCAGTCCTCGCTTGCTTCCTTGCACCTAGGGCTGTAATCAAGCTGAGTATTTTCTAGTTGGACTTGGCTTGGTACAATTATAAGTTATTTATGTTCAGCTTGAGCTTTTGTTAAGCTTTCACATATTGTTCAAGCTCAACTTTTTTAAAATTTTTAATGTTTGAACTTGGTTTGTTTATAATATGTGAATAAGTGTTTAAACGAGCTAAACATTTAAACCAGTATCTAGATTTTCATGTAAAATATTAAATATACATATCTAAATATATAAAGAATTGAATAAATCATATAAGCAAATGACTTAACCCACATGCTGTCATGTAATGTCTATAATAGATATATACTCACAAAATGTATAATAGATATATACTCACAAAATGAATTCTAAAATAGAGAAAAAATTGAAACAACAATAACAACATGCCTTTATCCCACTAAGTCGGGTCGGCTACATGAATCATTTTTCTCCATTGCGTCTTATTGAATGTTATATTTTCATTTAATTCTAATTGATTAAGATTATTTTTTATACAACATGCCCAGTTCTTTTTTGTTTTACCCCCGTCTTTCTTAACATAAGTCGAATCTAAAACATCTACTCTCCTAACAGGATCATCAGATGACCAACGTTGTAATGTAACCAAACCATCTAAAACGACTCTCTAATCTTGTCCATCACTGGAGCTACACCAACCCTATCACGAATATATTCATTTCGTATTTTGTCTCCAAGTGTCAAACTACTCATCCACCTATGCATTCTCATCTCAGCAACACTTAATTTTGTTTTATGCTTCTCTTTTAAAGGCTAATATTCTACGTCATAGAGCATTGCAGGTCTCATCACCATCTTATAAAATTTTCCTTTTAGTCTAAACGGTGCTTTTCTATCACACAATAGGCCCAATGCATTCCTCCACTTCACCCAACCAATTTGAATTCTACTAATAACATCCCCATCTATAGCACCATTATTTTGAACAATAGACCCAAAATATCTGAAATGTACACGTTTTTTAATGATTTGGTCGCCATAGTTACAACTCTACAACTAGAGTTACTACTTCTAAATTTACTTTTCATGCATTTAGTTTTAGATATACTCAAAACGACTGCCTTTAATAGAAACAAGAACAAAAAAAAAAAAAAAATTAATGAACTATATTACAAAGTAACTCATAATATGAAACCATTCATCAATTGTAAAAATAATTAAGAAAATTAAAGACAATCAGATCAAGCTTAATAAAAAAGAATAAATAAAAGTGATGTTCACTTTTATAATTTTATCATGTTAATTTTCAAGTAGTTAATAATTGATAATAAAATAAATATATAATTATTATATTATTATTGAATTTATAATTAGATAAATTCTATCTAACCAAATTTTATTTAAATAATATATCATATATGATACGAGTTATATTCGAGTTTCATATTGAGTATTTAATAAGTTATTTTTTGAACAACAAACGAGTTTGTTCGTGAACATAAAAGAATAAGTTCGACTATGTTCATGTTAGTCATTTAAGATTCGAGTTTTAAAAAATTATTCAAGTTTGTTTATTTACTAATTTGGACGAACAAGATCGAGTCTTAATTGAGTCGAGTTCGAGTTGTTCATCTAGTGCATTGGTTCATTTACTGCCCCACCGACGCTGGACATCACTCTTGCTATTTTACAGTCCACATCCCTTCTCTTTCGCTATCCTCGCTGTACCAGCCCTTCGCTTCGCCGCCAATGCAATTCCAAACTTTTCTTTTGTTGTCCGAACAACCCACAACCTATTTCAACCACCTACCTCTATTCCCCCGACGACCTAGCCGACCTCCACCTTCCCAAGATCAGCCTCAATATAAGTTTGTGTCGTGTTTGTTATGATTTCCCTTTCAAGCGTGTTTGATTGTAATCGTTCATTTGCTTTAATTAATATTATTTGCCTTTTCTATTGTGGTTTGAGTTAACTTTGATATCACTTGATTTTCCAGCTAGCCTAACCCTAATTCTACCCTAAGATTTCTATCATCTACCATACCCAAACTCATCTCCACCCTATCAAAATTTTCTATCCCCACCCAACATCCTCGTTATGCACACCTTTCATCTATTCATACCCAAACCCTAATTATGCCTATGAGGAGATGAGTACAAATATCGATTAGGAGCTTACCATGGAAGAGATGCAATGAGAACTCTGCAGAGTGCTACAACCTCTCAATGAAATTGAGGAAAAAATACTGTTCAGAGGGGTAAAAAAATTCCATTCGATCCCCGAGATGAAGAACCACCATCCCAGAAATTTATCACGAAATATTGGAGAAGTTCAAATTTTGAAGTAAATATGGATTTAACATATTTCGACAGCCACATGGATTTGGACAAGGTCAATGAGTGACTCTAGACCTTGAAATGTGTTTTTGAGTGCCATGCACTCCACTAGACGGATGGTGAGACTAACCGCTATTTCAGTGGTGGATGAACTCGAAGGTTCTCCGACAGCGAGAAAGGGAGAGTAAAATTACTACATGGTTTAAAGATGAAACGAGAGATGCATCGCCAATTTCTACAAGCTCATTGTAAACTTGATGTTAAGACCCCATTTTCAAAAGTGGAGAGACCATATCACCAGGTGGCTACTACATCTTACAAACATGGTTCAACCCCAGGATTGTACATCTGGAGTATAACTAGGGGAAAATCCAAGCTGACCCCGTCTTAGGAGACATGAGTTCAAAGTGAATAGTAGAGGGAACCGATCCGCATTCCCAAATTTGTCTCTGCCCGGAAGTGTTTAAGTTGAAGTAATACATAGTGATCAACGAGAGAATGAAAATATTATAAAGGATTCTCAACTTCTAGCATACGGGGAACAAAACACTGTGATTTCAATTGAACTCAGGAGAGAGATTCCAATTAAATTAACCTTAGTGGTGCAAGAAGGTAATGATCTGAGGTAATAAACGTTCATGCAGAGTATGAGGTTGTGGCTTATCAAATTACATTATTGCAGGCATTCAGAGGAGCTTCAATATGGCTGTCATTGGATGTCCTAAAGGGCAATGAGTTTGAGGGGCTGATAGTTGACACAATGTAACTTCAGATAAGAAGATTTTAGAATTTTTAGATATATTATCTACCTCTTGAGTTGTCCCTACAGAGATAGGTTAACATATCAGAGATGAGAACATTTTGATCTACTTCTCGAGGATCGTATGGTGTTATTTGGGTAGTGCAGTCAATTCAACAATGTATCCACAAACATATGATCAGACTTGAGGGATGACCCACATTGTTTGAAATTGCCTTAGGAACTTGGCAGGAAATAACATCCTACAAGGGGATCTAGTTCCTTTTAGAGAAGAAGAAGATGCACTTCCTGAGTGGTTGCTAGTTAGAGCTGCTGATTATGTCATCCCAGAGTTGAATCATCGTTATGCATTTGTTTGTCAGATACATTCAGACGAGACGAGGAGCGGAAGAAGCCAATTATGGGTTTGATGACTTAAGGCTTGGTTCGTGAGGATACCCATCCACATGTCACTTCGGCTCATGTTTTACCAAAATGAATTCATACTTATTCTACCAGGATGTGCTTTGGAACGATAACACATGAAGGATTAACATATCGGGACATTGCTACATTTCTACCTACTACTTACAACGTGTTTGATCTGTTTCCATGCTACTAGGAGATAGACGTTTCAATGGATGAAGTTGAATCTTCTTGAACCCTGAGAGACTAATGTGGGAGTTTCTCCCGCTTAAGAGA